CCTGCCCTTGCAGGAGGCCATCGACTACACGGTGACACGTGGACACTCTGGTGGACACAACCGGCCTTCGTCGCCAACGCGTTCCTGATGATGATGATGAACCAGTGGTGGGAATTCCACATTCCCTTTGCAAGGGCAAATCTAACGGTACACCTTCTGCGAATCAACGTGACCACATAATGGGCTATTCTATCCAATAATGTGATAACAGTCATCTTTGTTGGATATGTACAGTATGTCGGTAGGGAGGTGCAAAGGTAGATCAGGCAGGTGGGTGCATATTTAGGTAGGTGGGTCGGTCAGCAGTTGTCCTTAGATCCAGGTGGGAGCGCACCGAGACAAGTCCCTCTCACAAGGAATAAATACAAGGATAAAAAAAACACAGATATATTACACAGCGTACAACAACTCAGTCTTTAATATCCTCTTTAATATCCTTTATAAAGCACACATCATACTTTGATAATGCCACCGTGGTTTTATAAAGGAGGGAGGTGGGGAAAGAAGCCACCTGGACCGAGTTTCCTGCTCTCTCTCTCTCTCTCTCGCTCTCTTGCTCTGAAGCTCCCAGCAAGCGGGGGCCTGTCCAACCCACCGGACATTTCCAAATGCCATCTCTCTGTATTTTCGCTATTGCCTCGCGTCGGTAACATTTGCCGGGCTTTTGCGCGATCCGCGCCCTGCACGTTCCGTGCCGCAAAGGTTTGCATTCCCGGCGGGAGCCGCAGTCACAACGAACCGTTGTGTGTTCACGTGGTTTCTTTTTTTTGTTTGTTGCGCGGCGCGCATACGGCGCGCATAATAAATTCACGAGCGATCAAGTGATCAAAGTGGCCAGTAACTAATGCAACTGCTGTAGCGCTAAGAATGATTGAGGCGCAGGTGAGGCTCTGTACAGATGAGCCGGTGTTCTGCCTCGTGTATTGGCCGCCGTAAATTGATGCTCTCCATCATGCTTTAGCGTTGCTTGGCACTTTTCGATAACCCTTTCCTGCCAGGACGATGCCTCCAAAATGAGAGCTCATCCGCCTGATGAGACCCACGCGGTTGTGCACGCGTTTCGTGATACGCGGTCCCGCCAAAAACTTGAATTTTTTTTTAAATATAGAAAAATATTAAATATCTATACGAACTACAATCCACTGCTAGGTGCTCCATTTACTGAAGACGCCTTGAAGTCGATTGTGTCTGTAAAAGCGTGACATTACATTTGAAGGAGAACACTGCAAACCGTTTCCGTCACTGGTTTTTTTAAAGCCTCTTCACATGTGTGCAGTTAGTTCCCTCGGAACATATGGCATAACACATTTCAGTGACTTAGTTTCATATGGCCATAGCCATGCATTGCACTTCTTCACCGTTGTGGTGATAGTGCAGTGTTTGGCAAGCTGGATTAATCATTACATTTCTAAGTTTGCTTGTAGTGCATTCGTATGTCTCGACATATAAACCATAATTGCTGTTCATTCTAGATTTGAAGTTTTCGTGACTGCAAGGATCCATACTCTTTGGTTTTGTCGGTAAAGTCACGTAGGTAAAAAATAATAAAAATGAAAACAACTAAATTGAATCACAAATTAAATAAATTAAATAAAACATTTGAACAATTTAGTTGTTCTTATTTTTATTTTATTTATGATTCAATCAGAGCAATTTAGTTCAAATTTTTTATTTCTTTAATTTGTGATTGAATTTAGTTGCTTTCATTTTTATTATTTTTTACCTACGTGACTTTACCGAAAAAACCAAAGAGTATGCATCATTGCTGTTTTCTTGGTTCTTTCGGTAAAGTCACGTAGAAAGGAAGTAATAAAATAATAAAAATAAAACATAATAAAATAATTCTCACGACGTTTCGGCCACAACGCAAGCAGCCGTCCTCAGGTGAAGACTTCTTCCGAAACGTCGTGAGAATTATTTTATTATGTTTTATTATTATTATTATTTTATTACTTCCCTTCTACGTGACTTTACCGAAAGAACCAAGAAGATGAATCCCTGCAGTCACGAAAGCTTTAAATCGAAATCATTGCTGTTGTCTGTCAGCGTGGGATTTTGGAAGAGTCTGGTGTCTGAGCGGTGAACTTCCACGGACATAACCAGCGGCCGTAGATGCTGTTGCCAGGACTGTGGATGAATTTCAATGGGGGCCCTCGAGTAAGCAAAATGCTGCGTGGATATTTTTCAACGTGGCCCAGCCAATGCCAATACGCATTATTAATATATTCACTGCCCAGGCTGCGCTGAGCCAACACCGCCTACAAATGAAGTTATTTAGAGCAGGGATTTATGAGGAAATCTAAATATTTATGCATGCAGTTATTTATTGTTTTTTTGGCTTGTTTTATGCATTTGCTTGTTTGTTTAATCCCGCCCAATGGCACGGCTGTTAGAACACTCCACTCACAATCACGCCGCAAAAAGTTACACTCCTGATGAGGGATTCACTCTCAGTCTTGCAGCCCGCCGGGGTTTGAAAACGTGCCAAACCAATTTGTGAAAAATAATGTTCACATTGGTCATTGAGTGGATATAATCGCCCACCAGTATTAGAATGCACAAGAAGACTGGTTCTCCTAATATCGCACAAGACGTCAAGAGACGGCAAGTCAGATGGCTCGGTCATGCCCTCCGAATGAAGCAGGACCGTACAACAACAACTGCCCTAAGATGGACAATACCGCGCAAAAGGAAAGCTGGGAGGCCCGAGACCACGTGGCGCAAGACCGTTCAGGGCGAGCTGGTGGCAGCGATCGAACTCTCTTGTGGCGAGGCTCAAGACGTTGTCAAGGACAGGAAGAAGGAGTGGAGGGAATATACTCTTAGTTCTTTCGGTAAAGTCACGTAGGTAAGAAATGAAATTAAAATTAATAAAAAATAAAACAATAAATCACGACGTTTCGGAGGCAACACAAGTCTCCGTCATCAGGTGGGACCGTCACAGCAAATCTGGCTGTAGGGTTGTGACGGTCCCACCTGATGACGGAGACTTGTGTTGCCTCCGAAACGTCGTGATTTTATTGTTTTCTTTTTATTAATTTTAATTTCATTTCTGACCTACGTGACTTTACCGAAAGAACTAAGAGTATGAATATTTGCAAGTCACGAAAGCTTCAAATCGAGTGGAGGGAACTCATTGCGGCCTCATCTCCCATAGGGGATGAAGAGGATTAACTCACGAACTATGAGAATGTGGAATTTCCACCACTGTCTCTGGGCTCTCAATGGATATGAGCACCACCCTATTCCTGGTTTAACTCAAGAGACAGTGAGAGTTTTACTTTTAATTCATTTGTATGTGTTTTTGTTTGTTTATGAAGTAGACTTCTGTGAGAGTTTTGTGGTTTGAGAATTCTTCTCTTTGATATGTTTTTTTTTCTTGTCACCCTTCCCCCCCCCCCCCCCAATTGTATACCATTCAAGCTATCGGCATCGTGTGATGAGATAAACACATTTCATTCAGGACTCTGAAGCTGGCATCGCATCGTCCTGTGTTAGGGAACAGCCCTCCCAGACAATGCCGCAGAACTACTTACGAAGTCACTTTCGCACTCGATATGACGAATGATAGCTCAGCGAAGTGGCTTTTCATCATGTGGAAATTTATAGCAGCCAAACACTCTAAATAATCTAACTGTGGAGGGAAACATCGGTGGACCCGGAGAAAAATCCACGCGACCGCGGGGAGAACATGCACATTCCAAGTATACAGACGTCAGAATCAGGATAGAACCCACGACCTCCTGTGTACCAAGCGAAGTCGTGAAACATCTTGCCACTGTGGATCACACGCTGGACTTTGCAATACAGAGGTTGCAGTTCAAAATCTCGGTACGGCAGTTTGAAACAATTGTGCAAGCTTCTTAACCCGCCCCCCCCCCGCACACCAGTTCTGTCCACCCAGAGGTCGCGCTCATGACACGCAAAGTTCTTGCCAAAAAATGAAACGCAATACCTTGCCGATCTCATCGAAGAAAATAAACCATCCTCACAGCGGCTTTTGGCTAACCATCGAACAAAGACGACCACTGCGTTGTGCGCTTTCAGATGCGCTTTCCGTGGCCGTCTGGAACGCTCTTCCTACCGATATTATGAAGCCACCGTAGCTAGGCACTTTAAAATAATCTATCTTCAAAACGAATTTCTTTAGAATTAATTTTTGTGTTGAGTTTGTTGTCCTTCCCCCGCACCTCCGATTACCGCGGTTAGCTACGTAGGGTACAAAAGAAGTTCAGATTACATGCAAGCGACCTGGTTAGCCAGGGCGGTGGTGCACGCCTGCAATCGAGCACTGCGAAGGCGAGGGTTGGTGCAATCGCACCCATGATGTTAAACTCTCTCCAGGCGGGTATCAAGGAGTTGCCAAACCAGGAAAAGACGTTACAGCAAAACGTGAACTCCAACTGTTGTATATTATAGATGTCCCGGTTACCTCCAAAATGTGAACAATCATGAATTTGCCAAATAACATCTTATCATGAAGAGGACTTCAGAGCGCGGGTATTTGTTGGTGCCAGCTCAACGCGGGGCTGGCTCCTTGTAACTCCTCCGGAGTTCTCTCCGTCTCTGTCTCTTTGAGAGCGAGTCGATGCCGTGTGCGTCAGAAATTGAAAAAATAAAATATTCTCCACGCGAGGTTCACACCTTTGTCATGTCAAACTGACATGTTTAAGTCTCAGAAGCTGAAATAATCGAAATTTGAGGGAAAACACATTAAATACGACGCAGCTTTTCGCACTATGTGCTGTTTTGCTCCGACGTGTGTTTAAGTTGTACAGAGTGTTGTTCGGCGCCATGTCCGACATTTAGCTCCACGTGCCGAGAGCTGTCGCCTTCATAGCGGACATCATGCCGAGCAGTATCCGGTACAACCCAAAAGACGCATCTGAGAAGCCAAATAGAACGTGATCGTTTTTTTGTTGTGTGTGTGCAGTCAACGGTGACCGGGCTGAGACCATCAACTCCGTTACGCTTGAGAACCCGGTTCAACCATGGGTGGCCGAAACCCGGAATTCAACCAAGGATTCTCAGAGGTGTCGGCTTATTGCCCTGACCGCTGAACCACGCAACCACCTCACACATTCACCG